TTCTTCAATATGACTATCTGTACTATTCTGCAATATTACTTCTGCAATATTACTATCTGCACTGTATGTGTAATTTTGCTGTGTCTAAAATTAGTTCAAAAGAAAAAGTACATAAGAGGACATCTGTATCAAAAACACCATTAAAGAGGAAATTCTTAAGTGGGAGAAGATATTTGCAAAACTTGCATTGTGAATAGGTTCATATATGGAATATATCAAGAACTTCTACAAAGTCAGCATAACTGTTGACGAGTGTATTCTTTTATGAATTAATATATAGTATATAGAATTCAGAGGATTCAGATTTCAACCATGTCATATTTATTTGAAAGAAGGAAACCTCTCAGCAACATTGCAACATTGGCACAAACATAAGCATGTGGTAGAATTATTTTGTTTTCTTTTAAAAAAGAAATTCATCTTGTTTTACCCTTCAAAAAAAAAGTCAAGGCCAGATAGTCTAGAATACAGGAACAGAGGGTCATGAAGGAAATACAATTTGGATTAAATTTATAAACAGTGTTGGAAGAGTTAAAGATGAAGGACATGCAATGGCAGTAGTTTCAGAGAAGCTTCAAATCCTGGAGTTAAAAAATCCACAGGCGAACAAAGGAAAATTAAAATGGAAATTTTGATGTTTTCCTGAAGGGTTCCATCTTTTTCTGATGAACTTTTATTTTCTATTAAATAAGAAAATGATTTTACTTTTTCTCCTATCCTAGATAACTCTATCTTTCCACCATGTGTTGATACATTTATGGTAGGATATAATCTACCATAAAAGTGCTAAAGTATAAATAAGAATACAGTTTAATAATAAATAAGTTGAGATTTCCTTCAGACATCCAACGTAAACTATGTATACCAACTATAGTTTGTTGATAGAATGAGTGTTGTTTTTTATCCCTAAACAAGGGAGTTAGAAATGATTCTCACTTGTACTATAACCCTTTAAAATATTGATGCTCTTTAACATCTGGTTCATAACTGCTAAGAGTTACACATAGAGCAAAAATGATAGGTTAATTAATTCATAAATTATTACACCATGTAACTCTGGAAGAACTAATACAGCTTAACATATAGACATATGAGTGGCTGAGGGAAATGGGAAAGGAGAACTGAGAACAGAAAAAGCAGGATGGAGGCAAAAGCAACAAAAATGAACTACATTAATGCCAGGAGGACCTATCCATTTGCATGAAGTGGTTCACAAATTTAGCTATATTTTCTAGTGCACTGAGTAAGACACAACCAAATTTACTGATCTCATGCATTTGTTACCAATCAGGTAGAAAAACTCACCTGATTCCCAAGAGAAACAAAATGAGATTAAAGAGTAATATTTCCTATGAGTCTCATAAAGAGGACATAGCATTACATAACAACCTTTTAGTAAATAAAACAGTAGATTACATAACTTTATTTCTAATAATGGAAAAACAAAACTTTACAGGAAGCCAATATTGCAGCTGTACTCATTTTGCTGCTATTGCTCTAGAGGAAATAATAATCTTTATATCTTCCAGGCAGTCTTTAATAAATGTGATTTCTCTTAGCTGACATTTTAATAACTAGTTTGTTGCAGTAGGTTTAAGAGGAAAACAAAGTGCAGCTATTCTGTTGAGTTAAACTGTAGAACCACTTGTGTTAACATTCAGGCAAGTTGGCAATAGAATTAATATATTTTCATGGAAGCTGAAGACCATGACAAAAGTAAGCATTGAAAGAGAGGGCCAGCCTATGTCCTCTGCATGGAGAAGGGCCAAGGAGAGATTTTTGGGCTGGGCCAAGACATTCCTCAAGAAGTGATTTTGGGTTTGACAAAGCAGACAAATGGGGCCTGAAAACCACAGGTTCTACCTAAAAGAGCATGGCCATAGTTACTTGAATATGGAAAAATGTATAACTGTATTTATAGATTTTATAAATTATATTATTTTATAAATTATATATACTATATATTTATAACATATATATTTTACCACATAGTTTATTTAGAAAATCTCAGTAATATATTCATACAGCATTCCACTTCGAGTAAAACAGTAGGTCCTAGAATAATGTTGTTTCATTCAAGGTCATTTCTTTGTAATATTGAGAAAAAAATCAGTTCTCAGCTGGGGTCACTGTGTGCATGGGGAGTTTGACAATCTCCCCACGTTTGTGTGGTCTCTCTCTGGTTCTGCTTGTTTTCTTCCACGTCCCAAAGACAGTCATGCTAGACAAATCAGTGTGCCTACATGGTCCTAGTCTGAGTGAGTGTGGGTGTGTGGGTTTGCCTTGTGTTGAGATGGTGCTCTGTCCATGGTTGATTCCTGCTTTGCACCCTGAGCTGCTGGGATAGACTACCCTGAACTAGAGTAAGGAGGTAAATCATTATCTTAATTGTTTTTATTAATCTTTTTTAAATGTGTAAATAGCTTACATGTATTTCAAAATTCAATATTAGAAGTGTTTTAGTTTTTATTTAGAAGTTTGGTAATGTTTTTGTGACCAGAAATATGTTACAGGAACTTAACCATTCATTAGCTTATGGCAAAATAGGTTTTGTTATAGGTCATTTTGGTTAAGGTCACAGTTTCCAAGAACCTATTGATAATATTAAGTGAGAGCTTACAGTCAACTTTCTGGTCTTTTCTCCAAGATAATCGGTTTTCAACATAAATACCTAGATAATTGATTTAATTTGCTACGGAATATTTAATATTGACCAGTTTATAGTTTAGGGTGGGTGGGAGAGGTTCTAGTAATTCTTTAAAAGACCAGCCCCAATGTTTGAACATGTCATCTGCAGACAACAGAATGCTTCAAATTCCTGAAAATTAATTAGTGATCACAGATTGTGTAATTGTCTCCTGGAAGTAGCTACAAGTTAACCAAAGGTCCACTTCTACTGGAATTATGAGAGTAAAATAACTTGGAATCTAATTCAAGATCAAATTTAACTATATCTCATGTTTCTTCAGAGATTTAAAAGTTATACAAAGTCAACAAAACCCACAATTTTGCTTTGCTCAACTCTTTTGACAAGAAGATAAATTTAAAAAGTGGTCCATAGTGAACTAACAATAGCTACCATTTCCTTAGGTAAAATGTTGATATGAAAAGGCCAGCCTTCCTGTTTATGAGGAAAGAAACTTATACCGATAGTCTAAATGGGATGTCTACCAATCTGAAAATTTGGGGAAGTAAATGGTTGTCCCTAAAAATGGGATAAACTATACTGTGCATCCATACAGCAGGACTGCACCAATAAAGTTGATGAGGGTCTTTGAATAGTTTTAATAAATCTAGTAGTAAATCTTCAGCAGCTGCCTTATTTATTTGAGATTTAAAAAATTATCTCTAGAACATGCTGAACTATTATTAAGACCTCTTCAGAGAACACTCTTGAATTTGTAGAAAGACAGTTGAACTTGCTTTGTAGAGCCTAGGATGTTCATCTGGATGTAAATATTCACCTAAATTACCCATTTTTTTCTTATTTAATATCTTCCAACATAAACTTATTTTACTGAGTTCAAGATAATAAATTTATGTAAGATTCAAATTTAATAAGATCAAAGAGGCATCTTCTGATTTTAATTTCATACATGGAATTTCACCAGCTTTTTCCCCCCTTTTTGTCCTACTTTGGGACAAAGTATTTTAACTCATAAATACATTGCATATCTACGAACGGCTATATTTCTATAACATAAAGGGAGAATAGATTATAAAAATTTCCAGTTTATTTTTTCTTCACATAAAGGAGATAGTCTTAGAGGTTTCACTCATTCTTTAAAGACAATAAAATAGAATAAAGGAATAAAATTATCCAATAACTAGTTCTATGAAAATGTTAAAATTTCTGTAACTCAAGTTAATCAGACTGGAGTAGGGAGCAGTCAAAAATAAACATGATCTGAGGAAAGCAAATTGTGAAACACATGGAGAAAATTGAAAGTTATAAAGGGAAGTAGGAAAAAAGCACTAATAGTACTAGTAATAAAAGAAGTAAAGAAAAATGCATACCAGTTTTAGGTAGCTTGGGGAAAGAAAGATGAGGCTAAATAACATTGTCATTTATATCCTTACAATGATAACAACTTTTTTTTTTCTCTAGGAATAAGAACTTGACTATGAACTCCCAACGGGTTTGTAAGCTGAAAACTATTATAATCAAGATAGAAAAAGGGAAAAATTTACTGACCATAAGAATTGTTCACCGTTAGTTTTATTTTCTTGTAGACTTTATGAACATTTCTTTCATAAAGACCCTTAGACCAGGCAGGGGGGCTCATGTCTGTAATCCCAGGACTTTGGAAGGCTGAGGCAGGCGGATCACTTGAGGCCAGGAGTTTGAGACTAGCCTGGCCAACATGGCAAAACCCTGTCTCTACTAAAAATACAAAAAAATTAGCTGAATGTGGTGGTGAGCATCTGTAATCCCAGCTACTCAGGAGGCTGAGGCATGAGAATCACTTGAACTCGGGAGGAGGAGGTTGCAGTGAGCCGAGATTGCGCCATTGCACTCCAGCCTGGGTGACACAGTGAGACTTGTCTCAAAAAAAAAAAAAAAAAAAGGACCCTTAGTAAATACAATTCTCTTGTGTTAGACGTGATAGTGGAACACCATGACCATGGGAAGGCAAGGGGCCAACCGGAGGGAACCAATCATATGTGAGTACCTATCTTGTTACAGTGTGTGCTCTATGTTCTATATAAGCAATTTCGTTAAATTCTCAGAATAAACATGGAGTCCTGGAGAATTCAGTGTTGTAGAGGCCAGAAAACATCCCACACCTAGTGAGAGACAGACACAGGAAGTCCGCCAGGATGGTCTGACTCCACACCATGCCTTTCCTCTATGCTATGCCTCCTTTTGGGGAAGAGATGGGAGTGTATCTGAATGTTCATGTCTCTTTCAGATGAAGCTAACAGTTCACCTGAAACAATGTGACATTTAATAAAAAAAATGACACAGTCTTCTATTTGAAAATAAACATGTTTCTTACTTTTTGACTAATGAGAACAGGAGCATCATTTATGGAAGAGGCCCAGTTGACAAAATCAGTCACATCAATCATGGTTCCTCGGAGAAGCTTTTCTTTCAGTTCAAATGCATATTGTCTGGTTCCACCTCTTATGAGTGAAATAACATCATCTATGAGGTGATCACTGGTGATGTTTACTGAGGAGAGAAGGAAGATTTAAAGAGAAACAGTTGTAGTTCTATGGCTAGTTATCAAAAGGACATGTGATAAACATTTATTGAGTCCTTTTAGTAAAATACAACCTAATGTATTTATTAAATTTTAATTGTAAATATTGCTTATGCATTTTTTCACCTCAAATCTACAATGGAAATTTACATTAGTAGCCAATTGCAGATTTCTGTCATCTCCTTTAAAAAATAAAAATGTTACACATGGTCTAGATACACTGATACTTCACAGCTCTTCACATACAAACATGTACACATGGGAACTAAATATGACTTTGGGTGTAATATATATTTTCTGTTGCAAACTTACCTTCATAATTATATTTGTGTACATTTGCTTTGATATATTTTAATATTACAAAAAGAAGAGTTCAAAAAAGAATAATGTGAAAACTAACATTTCTTTCCACTCCCAATCCTACCCATCTTTTCCTCAGTGTCTCTCTGTAGACTAAGCCTCTTTTAATAAACCTTTGTAAGTCTTTTACATCTGTGAATTTTTAAAACTGGAAAGGAATTTCAAGACAATTTTTGTCATCCCGTCTTCATTTTTATAGAAGAGAAATTGGAAACAGAGAGGTGGAGTGACTAGCCAGAGATTACACAGTTAGCTTAAGGATCAAATATAGAAATTATACCATATAATGGCAAATTCAGTTTTTTCCCACCACTTCATCATTGGTTTTTCAATCATGGACACATATTATTGGTTGATATGCTTTTAAATATATCAGGTTTTTCCCCACTTTTGCCTGCCCACTACCAGTTGACTCTTTCTTTAAAGGTGAGTTTTAAGCATTTGTATTTTTTAAATGTTCTCAGGTATTTCTGATTAGAGGAAAAGTTGAGAATTCTAGCACTAATTCATACTTGTAAATCTGCTAAAGATTAACAGTAGGAAGTAATATTTATACCAAATACATTTGTATTTTTGAAAAGGTTAGGCACCGATTTAAAGTTAAGGATTAATTAGGGATTTCTATTTAGGTGGAAGGTGGAGTTGGGGAAATCGTTTTGGCCTTGTCCTTTGTTAATGGATGCACGAACATTGTCGCTTGCTTATTTGGAAGCTTTGTTAAAATTAGGGTGAAGAAAGGAAACTTTTTATGAAAATGCTTCCTTACTATTGCCATGATAAATATACAAGTCTAAAATGACTACCGTGCGAATCACACCCCCTTGAGTTGTGTACTGTACAACCAGCACAATAGCGATACTGGTGAATACATGTCCCTGGGCTATCTGTGTTTATAGTGGTTTGAAAACCACTGTACATAAAATATAGTTTTTAAGAACAAAGAGGATAGACAATTAAGAGGGCTCATTGCAAGAGGGCAGTGCTCATTGACATCTACCCCCAGGCTTTACGAAGTCTAACAAGTGAGGCCACACTTACCAGCTCTACCCTCTCCCCTCTTTACACAATCATCTTTATCAGCTTTAGCTCCAGCAGAGATTTTAGAGAAATCCAGAGATACATCCAGATGATACCCGAGGCATCTCTTTACATCTTTTAGTTCAACACCTGTTTAATGAATTTATTTGAAAATTATTAGACAATGTCTATCAACATTACAAATAAATTCCAATTTTGCTATTTTCAAGAAACATCCTTACTTAGGTTCCTATATACTATTACTAAATTCAAATATGCCATCATGTCTGTCCTGCTTTGTCCTCATATTAGATTATAGTGACCTCCCTTTGACTTTGCTTGTCAACTTAATGGCAAACGACACATTAAGTCTACCACATGGTTTAAAGGGATGTACGTCAAACTGTGATGGTTATAGGAAAGTCTTTTATCTGTAATGTCATAGAAGAGGGACAACAATGTCTATCATATATTGAATGCTTATCACGTGTCTGGCATCCTTCTAAGCATTTTGTGTGCTTTAACTAATTTAATCCTCACACTGGCTTTGTGAAGTAAGTACTATATTGTCCTCATTGTACAGATGAAAATGTGGAATTGTAGAGCAGTTGGATAACCTTCTAATGGCTCATTACTCAGCTAGTAAGTTTGGATTTGAACCCAGAGCTGTCTAGCTACTAAGTACTTCTCTGCATCAACTTCATAATTTGGTCATGAGATATATCAACATCTCCTGATCCTTTTTGGAAAACTCAGTTCATCCTTAATGTAGCTGGTTCATTGCTTTGGACAGACGGCTGATGTATGTATGTAGCCACTTTGCTTTCGTCCTATGAATGCTACTTGGTAGATATCAGTCTTGGAAGCTGACTCATTATGGTGTGTAGGTGCCCAAACAGTTAGTAGAAAGAAAAATCCTAATTTTTCAAAGTCTATCAGTTATTATCTGTTTTTGCAATTCAGAAAAAATAATTATTCCTCTATTTTAAGGGTAAACAGCCCAGATGACAGTTCATTGACCATGTCAGTTTTTGCCCTTATTTATCATTTCTTATTTCATACACACAAACACACACACACAGGCACACACACACGAATTTGTGATTATTTGTTCTGGGAGCCAAAATGCTTTGTGAAAAAGGAAAGAAAAAAATGAAATGAGGTTAATCACGGGGTTCTACAAGGAGTGTCGGGGTAGACCTCTGGGGGCATTTAGGCGTTTATTCATCTATCAAATACTTCTCATGCAACCACAATTAGTAAGAACTTAGAAACTATCAGGTGGCATTTCCCATGGGAAGGGAAGAGAGAGGATAAAAATGGAAAACAATACCAGAAATCCATAATTCTAGATTTCTAACCTTATCCTTAAGAAGTGTGAGGACTCTGCTTCTGAAGATGAGGGTGAAAGATACCTGGGTGACCCTAAAGTGTTCAGATTCTCTGCCTTAGCAGTGGACACTTTCATGTCCAGACATCCTAAATTGAGGCAGAGGACATGACTTGGTCCTCAGATATTGGCACTGGAGAAGTGAGAAAGAGGACTTCCTCTTCAAAGTCACTAGAATTGACCTGATGATCCTTGTCTATTAAGACCAGAGGGTAAGTAGCTTCTGAATTATTCAGGATTAAAGATCTCAGCCTATGGAGCTTTTTCACCAAAGCAACTCCTAGTCTGAAGATTTCTTTGTGTTTTGATCACCACTCATAAACCTTTCTCTTCTCATTTTCAAGTTACTCAAGACCTCTGCCCTCTTGTACTCCTCCCTTATGTGATATCTCCATCAATATAGCTTCCAGGTGGAGCTCACAGTGACTTCACTGTGTTGTGGATATAGCCCTGTGAAAGTGCAAGATAAGTAATGTTACATTCCACTTGCCCCGGGAGAGCTTCTCTCTACCCAAAACAAGACTGAGGCATCAAGACCAGCTGGTTCTGCTGTGTCATGCTTTGTTATCCCTAAAGTATCTACTGACCTTGGGGAGAGTGTCAGGCTTTTACGTCACAGTTACATTCCACCCTTCACTTAACACCTGATACCTTGACACTCTGACCCCATAAAAGCCATTAAAGTGATTTTTAGCAACGCTTTCCTCCCTAAGAGACACACCTATAGTTACAAGGGCAGAGAGAAGGCATCCTGGCATCCATCACCTCCTTAAGGAATATTATAACTAGCCATAATTACTTACAACATGAATGATTATAACTTACTTATATAGTCACTTTGCATTTATATTTTTCTTAAAAGACTTAGACGAACCCTTTAGGCCAGGCCAATAACTATGTATCAGCAGGCCTATCTTCTACCTATGACCGACATTGATAATTGACCATGGTCCTTTTCCCCGTGATTTCCCCATGACCAGAAATCTACTTAACATGAGCCCAATTCAACCACCACCATAAAATGAGAAGTGTCATCACATGAGGTAAAACCAATTTCCACCCTTGCTTTCAGATGTTAGATTTATATGATAACACTGCTGCTTCTTTTCCTGCCAAAAGAAAATTTAGAACAATATTTTCCCTCCAATATTGAAGTATATTCTGGAAGATAAGATATAGAAATTGGACTAGACTGCTGATTAAGAAGTAGGTTATACAAATTATGTCTGTACTTTCTTTCATCGTTTGTTTAGTATTTCACTAAAAGTGCCACCTTCTAATAGATGTGAAATTGCAATATAATTGATCCATCTCTCAGTGCTGCTGCTGAGTAGAATATGACCAAGTCAGCTTATTTGAGATGGAAGTCAATTTGCTATTTAACAGGATTTTAGGTGCCAAAGGGCAGGAAGAGAGTCCTCTCAAAGGAGCCGGTTACAGGGCTTTGTATTCTTAAGATTTTAACCATTCAAAGAGGTTGGTGAACAAAATAATGTTTGGTCAAAACAGTATTTGAAGTCAGAGTTCTATTTCTAGGCATACCTTTCCGGTTCATGGAAGCTTTATCCAAAACATATATTAGTTCATAGAGTCCTCCCAGAGACCCAGAGCTACTGTAGTGGGTTCCATAGGTTTCCAAAAAGGCAAAATATTCTCCCTTTTCATAGGTAGTTGGCAAAGCTTTTATATCATCCACAAAAGTTGTTGTGAGCACAACATCACGATTTCTCATCATAAATCTTCCCAGATGAATTTCTCCTTTCACATGCAGGAACATTTTTTCCTGTGTTGTAGAGTAGATGAAGAAGAGAAACATGTGTTTTATCCATCACTGCAAATGAAAATGTATGAAATTTAGAACTTCCAAAGACACTAAATGTTTTAGCAGTGACCATGAGATACCACTCTAATCCACCAGAATGGCTAAATGTAAAATACTATCAACACTATCAATAAAATACTATCAACATCAACTATTGATGAGAATGTGCAGTGACTAAAACTCTCCTACATTACTGGTAAAATTAGATAGCCACTTTGAAGAACTGTTTGGCAGTTTTCCATAGTGTTAAACACATATTTGCTTATGATCAGCCAGCAATTCCACTCCTACATACTTACCTAATAAAAATTTTGTTCACAAAAGTATCGGTATAAGAATTTCATGGCAGCATTTGTCAGAATAGCTTAAAATTGAAAACATCTCAAATGTCCATCAAGAGAGGAATCAATAAACAACTGTGGCATATTAACACAATGGAATATTAATCATCAATAAAAAGGACAGTAAAACTACTGATACAAGTAATAACACAAATAAATCTCAAAAATATTATACTAAGTAAAAGAAGTCAGACATAAAAGAGCATATCCTGTATGATTCCATTTATATGAAGTTCTAGACTAGACAAAACTAAGCTGTGGTCAGATAAATCTGGGCAGTGGTCACCTCTTAGGTGGTAGGGAATTGAAAAGGGCATAAGGAATTTTTCTTGGGATAAGAAGCCCGAGTCTCTCTTCATGATGGAATTTTCTTGGTGTGATGTTCTTTTCTTTTCTTTTCTTTTTTTTTTGAGACAGAGTATCGCTCTGTCGCCCAGGCTGGAGTGCAGTGGCCGGATCTCAGCTCACTGCAAGCTCCGCCTCCCGGGTTTACGCTATTCTCCTGCCTCAGTCTCCCGAATAGCTGGGACTACAGGCGCCCGCCACCTCGCCTGGCTAGTTTTTTGTACTTTTTAGCAGAGACGGGGTTTCACCGTGTTAGCCAGGATAGTCTCGATCTCCTGACCTCATGATCCACCTGTCTTGGCCTCCCAAAGTGCTGGGATTACAGGCGGTGTGATGTTCTTTAACTCAATGTATTTTAAACATAGATCTTAAATAATTCCCATCTAAATATGCTTTTGTGTCTTCTGTGTTAAAACATTAAAAAAATTCTCTTGCTAAAGGAGGTGGCTACTCTAATGTACGTAATTATCAAAACTCATGAAACTATACACTTAAAATTTTTGCATTTTATTTTATGAAATTATACTTAAGTTGTTTTAAAAACAACAGTGGAAGGAAATGGAAGCATTATCTATAAAGCCCAATCTTGCTATTATGCAGATGAGAAAACTAATTTAAAGATATCAAGTTATTTGGCCCAAAACATACAAATAATACTTGAAGGCATTGGTACTAAAAACCCAGGTGTCAGGTCTCCTTGTCCCTTCCAGTCCACCCTCTCAATTTTTAATGACAGAGACAGGACAAACAATATTTTGAGACACGGAACTCAAGTCAGCCTAAACAACTCAACAGTTAAATGTTTCCTGGGCCAGGGCTGATGGCTTACCTTTCCCGGAGAAAACTAGGGCAGTGAACTGTGTGATTCAGTGCCATAGCTTGTCCTGATGAAAACTAAACTACAATTGACATCCACAATTTTGCAAATGCATCTTTTGAGGGTCTCCTAACAGCTGTGGTTAACATATGATGATTATGTGGGAGTTTAAAATATTTTATTTCTTTTTAAAGATATACCTTGCTATATATGAACATCATACCAAACTGTCTGTGTTCTTAAAGCACAATGTTGTCATCATGATTTAACTTTAGGTGACAGTGGGTGATCCAGTCTTTAATAAAAATCTTACAGTGACTTAGCCTGTATGTTATAGGTCAATGATCTCTTCATCTCCTGACTTGCACAAGAATTCTCAAATGCTTTATTCAAAGCATATTTGGATTTCTTTTCAGTTTTGCTAAAACTGGGAAGTATATCTTGGGATTTGGGGTAAGAAAGACATGTGATGTTCTTTGGGTCAATTTACTTCAAAGGTAGCTCTTAGCTCATTACCATCCAAATATGCAGTTGTTTCTTCTATCTTAAATCAACAAAAAAATTTCCCTTGCCCTAGCTTGCCTGCCCAGCCACTCTACCCATTTCTTTGCCCTCACTAGAAGCAAAATTTATTCAGTTTTCTATACTGTGCATTTTCAATTCTCCCCTTCCCATCATTCATGCTCCTGACCTCACTACTCCAACGAAACGTCTCTTGTCAAGGTCTCCAATGACTTTCATAATCCTAAAGCCTATGATCACTTCTTAGCCCTCATCTTCTTTGACATGTTAGAGCAATTGACACAGTTCATCACTCTTTTCTTCTTAATAGAGATTATTTTCTTGTCTTCTAGGCCAGTGCTTCTCAAACTATAAAAGGTGAACAAATCACCTAGAGAATCTTGTTAAAATGCAATACTGATTCAGTTAAAATGCATTTCTGGAGCACAGTTTAAGATTCTATCTTCCTAGCGATGTTGATGCTGCTGTTCCATAGACCACACTCTAAGTAGCAAAGTTATTGGGCAGTTTTTGGGTTCTTTTACTTATTTTCTATTGAAGTTCCCCAAGTTTGGTATTTGATTGTATTCTATTTTCTATGTACACTAACTCTGTTAGTGACCCCATGACTAAGTCAACAAGTCAATGTATAGCTCAATTCCAGGTCTTCTCCCCAAACTCCAGCCTCATAACACCAACTCCTACTTGGCATTGCCAATTGGATGTATAATAAACACCTCAAACTTAACCTAACTAAAATTTAACTACTGGTCTCCCTCTCCAAACCTGCTCTATCTGAGCAAGTTTATTAGCAACTCCATTTTTCTAGTTGCTCAGGCCAAAAACCTTGGACTCTATAATTGTCCTATCTGAACTACTGAACTACCATCATGTCTCACCTGGATTCCTTCAATAACTTTTAGCAAGACTCCTTGCTTTGGCTCTTAGCACCTATGATCTCTTCTTGACAGAATACCTTGAGTAATCATTTGAAATATAATAGGGAATGTCAATCTTCTATTAAAAACCCTCAAGTAGGCCAGGCACGGTGGCTCACACCTGTAATTTCAGCACTTTGGGAGGCCAAGGCGGGCAGATCCCTTGAGGTTGGAAGTTTGAGACCAGCCTGACCAACATGGAGAAACCCCATTTCTACTAAAAATACAAAATTAACCGGGCGTGGTGGTGCATGCCTGTAATCCCAGTTACTCGGGAGGCTGAGGCAGAATCGCTTGAACCCAGGAGGTGGAGGTTGCGGTGAGCCAAGATCACACCATTGCACTCCAGCCTGGGGAACAAGAGTGAAAATCCATCTCAAAATAAATAAATAAATTAAATTAAATTAAAAATAAAAATAAAAACCCTCAAGTGACCTCCCGTGTCACTCAGAAAAAAAGCCATGCTGAGTGGACTTTGAAGTTCTTCATGATCTGATTCAAGGTAACTTTTCTAATTTTTTATCCTTCTGATTCAGTTTGACTAACTTTTATCACACCAGGTTTTTCTTACATTAGAGACTTCTCTAACAGTTCCTTCCATCAGATGATTAATCTGAAATCTTACTCTTTGGCTATTTCCTCTCCTCCAAAGCTTTGGTCAGCTCTCATCTCCATGAAGCTGACCCTGAGCTTCCTTTTTAATCATGCCACCTGCAGGCATCCCTGCTTTCCTTCATGTTACTCTAATTTTCCTTGTATACCACAGCACTTAATACTTTGTAAATACCATATTACTTCTTTTTTTCTATTATATGTATTCTTTTTGGCTGTCTCTTTCTGTGGACCTTTTAACTCCATGAGGACAAAAATTTTCATCAGCTTGGTTCACAAATGTATTCTAAGTACCTAGGCCAGAGAGCTCACAATTAAACATTTGTTGAATGATTTAAAGAGTTTTCCACCTGTACACTTGAGTGGGTATGCTTGTAAACAGAGAGGTAATGTACCAACCCTTACAAAACAGTTACATAGTTAGACATAATGTAAGTGCTAAAAGTGAATTATTATTGTTAATGTGGGAGAAGCTTGTCTAAATAGGTGACTGTGGTATCAGAAAAGGAAAAATGAGCATTTTACTGGAAACATGTTGATTACAGAGAGTATATTTTACATGTATTCCAAGAGTGGTAGAACAAACTTCAAAATCTGGCTCAAATATTAAAAAAAAATACACACACACATTTTCAAAGTCTCAGATTAAACATATGATTACAAAGTAATCAGACCAATTTTATGTGCAATGTGTATAATTTCATAGCATCATTTCTTTAGAGACACATTTTGTAGTTAATAAACAGTGATCATTGTAGGTAAGGCATTGCAATGAATTACCAGAATTCTTCAGTATAATTCTTCATTAAAATTCTGATCATCATATAAATTGAATGGTATATTACCACAGTCTCAGTCAAAAAATGCTCTAAATTCTTAATACACATTTTCTGCTCACTACCACCAAACATATGATTCATTTACCACTGCCAAAGATTCTATCAGACTTTTTTTCCAGTTAGTATTCTTTCTGACGTGCTAGCTATATATTTGAGAATTTGATCCATGTTTCTTTTCCTTTTTATGATTTCTATTTGCTCTAAATACTTAAAGAGTCTGGTTAGTTTGTAACCTTTCCATTATATTCCTATATTAACTGTTTGGTCTTACCTTCTTTGAAGAATATGACAAAAATAGTTGGTAAGTTTCATTTTTGGAATATGAAAACCGAAAACTACCCTGGCCACGTAAAGAATTTGAGGAGGCTTGTTTCTCAGAAGACTTTTCAGTTTTAACTTTATTTGCTTCAGTGGGTGTAAATTTTAGAGATATATCTGCATTAAAATTTGATGTCTTCTCTTGGACGATACTTTTAAATGCTTCAATTTGTTCTTCATAATGTTCGGTTCTTAAATTTTTCTCGCCTTTGGTCTAAAAGAGAATTAAAAGGTGTTGTTAAAAACAAGATACGAAACAAAAGGAAAAACAAGCAGAACAGAACCAAACAGAAATCAAGCAATTCTTTGAAAGGCAGTAGAACAAAGGACTTAAGAGAAAAAGGGCTGGAGTCAGATTCCTGGGGTTCAAATACAGACTCCGTGACTTTAAAGTGATTATGCAACAATCTCTGTGTCCTTAGTATGATTCTTAGTCTATAAAACGGATATTCATCATATCTAGCACAAAAGGTCTTATAACAATTTAGTGAGATAATGCATATAAAGGGCTTATAATATAGCAAACTTTTTTTTTCAACTTATTTTAAGTTCTGGGGTACATGTGCAGGATGTGCAGATTTGTTACATAGGTAAACATGTGCTATGGTGGTTTGCTGCACAGGTCAACCCATCACCTAGGTATAAAGTCCAGTATCCATTAGCTATTCCTCCTGATGCTCTCCCACTCCTACCCCCAGCAGTCCCCAGTGAGTGTTTTCCCCCCAACGTGTCCATGTGTTCTCATCATTCAGCTCCCACTTACAAGTGAGAATATGAGGTGTTTGGTTTTCTGTTTCTGTGTTAATTTGCTGATGATAATGGCTTCCAGCTCCATCCATGTCCCTGCTAAGGACGTGATCTTGTTCCTTTTTATGGCTGCATAGTATTCCATGGTGTATATGTACCACATTTTCTTTATTCACTCTATCATTGATGGGTATTTGGGTTGATTCCAAGTCTTTGCTATTGTGGATAGTGCTGCAGTGAACATATGCATGCGTGTATCTTTATAATAGAATGATTTCTATCCTTTCGGATATATACTCAGTAATGGGATTGCTGGATCAAATGGTATTTCTGCTTCTAGATCTTTGAAGAGTTGGCACAGTGTCTTCAACAATAGTTGAACCAATTTACACTCCCACCAACAGTGTAAAAGCATTCCTTTTTCTCTGTAACCTTGCCAACATCTGTTGTTTTTGGCTTTTTAATAATTGTCATTCTGACTGGTTTGAGATGCTATCTCATTGCGGTTTTGATTTGCATTTCTCTAATAATCGGTGATGCTAAGCTTTTATTCATATGTTTGTTGGCCACATGAATGTCTTCTTTTGATTAGTGTCTGTTCATGTCCTTTGCCCACTTTTTAATGGGGTTATTTTTTTTTCCTGTAAATTTGTTTAAGTTCCTCATAGACTCTGGATATTAGATCTTTGTCAGATGAATAGATTGCAAAAATTTTCTCCTGTTATATAGGTTGCCTGTTCACTCTGATGGTAGTTTCTTTTGCCATGCAGAAGCTCTTTAGTTTAATTGGATCCCATTTGTCAATTTTTGTTTTTGTTGCAATTGCTTTGGCATTTTCATCATGAAATCTTTGCCCATGCCTATGTCCTGAATGGTATTGTCTAGATTTTCTTCTAGGATTTCTATAGCTTTTGCTTTTAATTGGATCCCATTTGTTAATTTTTGTTTTTGTTGCAATTGCTTTGGCATTTTCATCATGAAGTCTTTGCCCACGCCTGTGTCCTGAATAGTATTGCCTAGATTTTCTTCTAGGATTTCTAGAGCTTTTGGTTTTACATTTAAGTCTTTAGTCCATCTTGAGTTAATTTTTGTATAATGCATAAGGAAGAGGTCCAGTTTCAATTTTCTGCATATGACTAGCCAGTTCTCCCAGCACTATTTATTAAATAGGGAATCCTTTTCCCATTGCTTGTTTTTGTAAGAGCTGTTGAAGATTAGATGGTTGTAGGTGTGCAGTCTTATTTCTGAGTTCTCTATTGTGTTCCATTGGTCCATGTGTTTGTTTTTGCACCAGTACCATGATATTTTGATAACTGTAGCCTTGTACTATAGTTTGAAGTCAGGCAGTGTGATGCCTCCAGTTTTGTTCTTTTTGCTTAGAATTATCTTGGCTATACAGGCCCTTTTTTGTTTCCACATGAATTTTAAATTAGTTTTTTTTTTTTTTTCTAATTCATGAAGAATGTCAGTGGTAGTTTAATGGGAATAGCATTGAATCTATAAATTACTTTGGGCAGTATGGCCATTTTCACAATATTGATTCTTCCTATCTGTGAGCATGAAATGTTTTTCCATTTGCTTATGTCCTCTCTGATTTCCCTGAGCAATAGTTTGTAGTTCTTGAAGAGGTCCTTCATGTGCTTTGTTAGCTGTATTCCTAGGTATTTTACAGGTTTTTTTTTTTTTTTTTTTTTTTAGCAATTGTGAATGGGAGTTAATTTATGATTTGGTTCTCTGCTTGCCTGTTGTTGGTATATAAGAGTGCTAGCAATTTCTGCACATTAAGTTTGTATCCTGAGACTTTGCTGAAGTAGCTTATCAGCTTAAAAAGCTTTTGGGCTGAGACAACGGGGTTTTCTAAATATAGGATCATGTCATCTGCAAACAAAGATAATTTGACTTTCTCTCTTCATATTTGAATACCCTTTATTTCTTTCCCCTGCCTGATTGCACTGGCCAGAATTTCCAATACTATGTTGAATACGAGTCATCAGAGAAAGCATCCTTGTCTTGTGCTGGTTTTCAAGGAGAATGCTTTCATCTTTTGCCCATTCAGTATGATATTGGCTGTGGGTTTTTCATATACAGCTCTTACTATTTTGAGGTATGTTCCTTCAACACTAAACTTTCAATTAAACTTTTTTTTTTTTTTTTTCCAACTTGGCTATTGTCAGGTTATTGTCAATGAGAGGGTTGATATATAAGTGCTTCAGTTCTCTTTTCAGAGATCTTCTGAATTAGGTGTAACTTGTCTGGGAAGGGGACACCTGTATCTTCAGACAGTGTCATGAATTGGATTTAGTAGTATGTATTGAGTGGTTGTTCTGCATGGGAAACCTAAAGCTACTACTGTCTCATGAAAAGACTGAAATGTATATAGTTATCTTTAAAACAAGACATGTTGAAGAAACTTCCTAGCATAACAGGGAAAAGCAAACTAACCATTGTCACTTCCCTACTTAGATCCTTCCAGTGTATTTCTAATGACTTTAATATAGTCTAAACCAGGTTTATTTCTAGTCAATCTTTCCATCACTGTGTGTCAGCCATCTAGCTGTTCCACAACCCATGCTGTTCTTACCCTAAGTCCCTTTTATGCTGCTTTGACTTTCTGGAATGTTCTCTTACTCTTTCCCCCCCAATCCTCCCATAGCACACACATCACACACACTCCCTCTCACACATACACACAAATCATAGGCCTCAGGTTGATTAATTCCCACTCCTGTTTCAAGTTTTACCCGAAACATCACTGCTTTAGGAAAGCCTCTCCTGATACAACAGACTAACAAATATTTTTGCTGCAAGCTTTTATGGCTCCTCTTTTAAAACAAAATAAAATGAAAACCACTTCTTTTATAATTACTTATTAAATAAAACTCCAGTCTTTGACTCTAGCTACATCCCAGCACCCTATAGATACAGGGTCCAGGCTTAACCAGTGCCAGGCCAGCTTCTGTGGCCTCAGGCCTGAGGCCAGTTTCATGGACAAAGGTTCCAGCCTCAACTCAAGCTTTAGACAGGCCCAGAATGAGGCTGATCTCTGTATCCCCAGACTCAGGATTTTACTTGCAGACTAAGCCTCCAGCTATGCCAGGTTAGCACCCATATATCTCAGCTTCAGGCCAGCTTCCATGACCTCAGGCACCAGGCCAGCATCTGGGACTCAGTCTCAAAGGCTGGTCTCTGTAGACTCAGGCTCCAGTTTCACCCAGTGCCAGAATGGTCACTGCAAATCCAAAAATCAGGCCTGAGACCGGGGATCCAGCCTCTAGGCCCATCCCAGTGCAAAGGCAGCCCTATTGGCCTCAGGCTCCAGGCTAGCCTTCATGAATTCAGGCTCCAGGATGGTCCTTATAGCCTCAAGATCCAGTGGACCCACTGGACCCAGGGTCCAGGCCCACTTCTGTAGACTCCAGTGCTAGGCTGACCTCTATGGATACAGGCACGAGGCTCGTTCCAGCAGACCCAAGCTCTAGGCCTTCTCCAGTGAATCAAGGAGCCAATCATGTCTGCCCAAGGACTCCAGCATCAAGCCTGCTTGTGGACCATGCCAGATGACTTGCCTAGAATCTCTGGACAAACTGATTAATGAAGGGTTATCCCTGCTGAAGTCGGTCTTTAAGGGATGGAATAAGTGCTTACTTCTTCGAAGGCATAGATATGCATGGCCACAAAGATCACACATCATCAGGGAAACATGACACCACCAAAGGAACAAAATAAAGCACCTGTAATTGACCCTAAAGAAGTGGAAATTTACAAACTGCCTGAAAACGAATTCAAAATAATTATCTTAAAGAAGCTCATTGAGCTGCATGAGAATACAGACAGAAGACTAGATGAAATCAGGAAAAAAATATATGAACAAAATTAGAAGTTCAATAGAGAGAGAGCATAAAAAAGCACAAACAACCAAATTTAGGGGGTTAAAGAACACAACAGATGAGCTGAACAATTTCATAGTGAGCTTCAGTAGCAGATTCTATCACGCAGAAGAATCATGAGCTCAAAGACAGTTCATTTGAAATTACCAATCAGAAAAACAAAAAATAGAAAAGAATAAAAAATAGTGAAGAAGTCCTGTGGGAACTATGGGCACCATCAAGTGAACCAGTATATGTATTATGGTGCCCCAGAAGGAAGAGAGAAACACAAAAGCGTAGAGAGCTTATTTAAAGAAATAATGACAGCAAATTTCCCCAAAGTGGAGAAAAAAACAAGCACCCAGGTCTATGAAGCCCAAAGAACCCCAAATACACTATATTTGAAGAGATCTTCTCTTGGACACATTACAGTAAAACTCAAAAATCATACAACAAAGAGAATTTTGAAAACAAGAGAAGAACAACTCATCACATATGAGGGAGCTCACATAAGATTACTAGCAGATATTTCAGCGAAAGCCTTGAATCCAGGAGATAGTGAGATGATATATTCAAGAGTACTGAAAGAAAAATAAACTGC